GATTATGACTACAGAATAGGGCATTAAAATGTAAAGGGGAAAAGGTTAATAGGGCTTCGATAAAGTATGATTAAATGAATTATTTTACCCATTAGTTTTTCATAAAGCATTCATTATGATGAAACTTGAGATCTCTTATATGTATTTCTCAAGAATCGGAAATAAATTCGACGTCTAGAAACTGAAGTGGTTATGAAACAAAACAACTATGCATCTGGACTAAATGAAGTTGTCTCTTTCACTTAATTGACTTGACAGCATCTTCATAACTATAGACGAGGAGCATGGACGAGGATGTTAAAGACAGTAAGTATCGGGCAGGCGAGGCAAATCTTTATCACTCTGAAATCAGTATGGAAACCTACAACACTCAGCAAAGCGAAGATTTGAATTTTAAACACTAATGCCAAATCAGTGCCATTAAATATTTCAGAGACCGTAGCGTGCAGGTTCATCAGAATCATTTACAACTGTCTACTGCATAGTTTTGTTAACAACTGACTCGATATTGAAGATAGTATGAGTAGCTGAAAACGATAAGTTAACAAGGGATTCTGGCAGTACTGCGATTCTATTGCCCAAATGTGTAAAAGAAAGTGGAGGTGGATATTACATGTGCTGAAGAGACTTTCAACTGATATCACAAGACAGTCCATCAAATGGAACTCGTATGAAAAACGATGGACTGGGTGTTTGCGGGTAATGTGAGCATGAAATGAAGGCTTGTAGGCAGTTGTAGAGCCATCTGAAAGTGACTGTGGAGAACAGAATACAATGAAAATGGCCTCCTTATGCCACATGTCGAACTTAAAACTCGACAGGACAAATTTACAAAATTCTTTAAGACATAAGTGACCAACACATAAATAAAAGTTTCTAGTATTCACTCTGTGCCAATAAGAAACAGCTATCGTTATTGAAGGTTAAATGACACGATACTTATTTCCAGATGCCAAGCGAAACACTGTTTTTATCAGGATAGGATAGGAAAGAAAAGAGATTAACAACAGGAGGAAGAAGAATCCCAATATTTTTTTTATTAAGCAACATTCCTTTGCCTTATGCTATAAAAGGTCAGAATTTCAATTCCCTTTTTTCGATTTTATGTGTATCTACATAGGCATAGACTTTTTTCCTATGCGTCAAATGAAATGTCATTCATATGTATATATTGTATTCACTTTAACCTTATTATACCTATTTTATGCTTTTCCCTTCTATTCTACCCATCTAGTTACCCTCCATTCTCTCCCTCTCACTCTTTCTTTCCGCTATATTCTCTTTCTATATCGCATATGTACACAAATAATGAGAAGTAATTAATTGTTTGCTTTCTTTTTTTATGGATCCATTTTCTTATAAAAATAATCATGCTTATTCAACTTATCGGTTTTGTTGCCATTGGCACGTTGTATTTATTCACAGTCTGTGTGAATCAATTTAGAAATTCAGATTGTCTAAATAAAAAGAAAACTAGCAAAAGTGCGAATCAATGAAGACGATTCTCTCTCTCTCTCTCACTACAGCGAAAACTATGTAGATTGGCATATTCACTTGTACAACAAACAAGTACTAACCGAATTTATACGAAAGAATATTTTTTTGTTTTTGATTACAGCTTGATGCCACACCGTATTTTCAGTAAAAGTATGGAATTTTCAGCATGGATTTCGGTAGCCCAAATTTTGCAGGCCGACCATAGATATCGGGTGTGCATCGGCAGGGGATCGAACCCCGGACCATGTGCATGGTTGGCGAGAGTCCTAACCACTGCGCTACCGACGCACATTGGTAAATCCAACTCAATGTCATAGTTTGCGTTTCATAGATAATGTATAAATACACAGGTTGAGGGGATAACACCAAATTAGCAGTAGTGCTCGGTGGCCTGCTTAAAAATTGGGCTACAAAAAACTTCCGTCTCTCACTCTCTGTTGCATATATTTTCTCCCATTCGATTTGTTCTAATCGGTTAAAAAGTGATATATTGTAACGACAGAAGACAAGGGCCAGGTAACAGATCGTTTATTGAGAAAATCAAGAGGTATTCATTGATTTTTATGTATATTATTGTTAGCGGAGAAGCAACCTCTTCTGACAGGTTGTTTTCTTACTGAAGGTTATTCTGTTATCTCTTTGTGACCGTTTCTCAGAAAGTTAAGCCATATATCTGCAAATCATACTTCCACACTTTAACTCCACTGTGATTGGCTGGTGATTTTCTCAAGGATAAGCTTTGTTTTACCCAATTACCAAGGAAGAAAGACAGATTAAACAATGGGCGGATCACTTCAAAGGACTCTTGAACCGACCACCACCTGCAACTCGTCCAGAAATACCAACAACAGCACGTACACAACTGCAAGTTGACACCAATCCTCCAACGAAAGCTGAAGTCTTCAATGCAACCAAGCTTCTGAAAGCTGGAAAAGCAGCTGGACCAGATGGAATACCCCCGGAAGCACTGAAAGCGGACCCGGAGACGACAGCAGATATGCTGGATCCATTATTGCAAAAGGTCTGGAAGGAGGGAAAGGTGCCTACTGACTGGAGGAAAGGTTATCTTGTGAAACTACCAAAGAAGGGCGACTTAGGACTCTGCAAGAACTGGCGAGGAATCATGCTCCTGTTGACGCCAAGTAAAATCCTGAGTCGCATCATACTGGAGAGAATAAAGGACGCACTGGATACAGAACTCCGACCAGAACAAGCTGGATTCAGGAAAGGCAAATCATGTTCTGACCAAATTGCAACTCTACGCATCATCATCGAACAAAGCATGGAATGGCAATCCAACCTCTACCTCAGCTTTATAGACTTTGAGAAGGCCTTCGACAGCGTTGAACGTGAAGTAATTTGGAAACTACTCAAGTACTACGGCGTACCCCAAATATTCATCAACCTTATTCAACAGCTGTACAACAACGGCACATGTCAAGTGAACCACAACGGAAAACTCAGCGAAGCGTTTGGAGTAAACACAGGAGTCAGACAAGCGTGCTTATTATCACCAATGATATTCCTAATTGTGGTGGACTGGATTATGCGTCAGACAGTGGGAAACGAGAAGCCAGGGATATCCTGGACCGACGTGAAGAACCTAGAAGACCTGAATTTCGCGCGTGGATGATTTATGTTTAATGTCACACAAAATCGAAGACTTACAAGCGAAAACCGACAAACTGGTCGAAGAAGCAGGCAGTGAAGACAGGACTCCAGGTGAACATAGACAAGACGGAGGTTATGAAAATAACCAACCAACCAACAACAACAGCAGCAGCAACATCCAGTGCCAATCACCATCAACGGAAGGGATTTGAAAGAGGTTACACCATTCACTTATCTAGGGAGCATTGTCTCAACTACAGGAGGAACCGACGAGGATGTCAAATCGAGAATCGGGAAGGCGAGAAACACATTCATCAACCTGAAACCAATCTGGAAATCTTCCACTGTCACTCAGCCTGCATCAACAACGAAATTCGGATTTTCAATACAAACGTCAAGTCAGTCAGTTCTTCTATACGGATCAGAAACTTGACGGCGGGTCACAAAGAATATTTCCAACAGCCTGTTGCAGACCTTTGTCAACAACGGTCTTCGTTCTATACTGAAGATCAGATGGCCGGAAAGAATCACCAACAAGAAACTATGGGAACAAACAAAACAGGAACCAATCGCTCAACAAATATGCAGGAGAAAGTGGAGATGGATTGAACACTCGCTGAGGAGGCCGCTGGGTGACATCACGCGTCAGGCCTTCGAGTGGAACTCGAGAGAAGCGGCGAGTGGGACGTCCGAGGGTGACATGAAGGAGATCGTGTGAAGAGGAGCTGAAACAGTATGGACTAACATGGATGAAAGTGAAAAGTACAGCGGAAGACAGAAGCAAGTGGAGACGTGCAGTTGAAGCCCTATGTTCCACTAGGAACCCGAGGGAACAGTACTAATAATAATAAGCTTTGTTATTGTTTTTTCTCATGACCCGGATTCGGGACGTGAACATTGACCTAAATTATTGTCCACAATTTCTGCTTTCGACCAGCTATCACCACAATATAATGGTATTATCTATTCTTGTGTGTATTTAAAATGTTTACAAGCTCCTGATTTGCAAGTTCCTACTAAACTTGAGAAATAACCTGATTAAGGGTGGCTATGTGCTTTAATATATGGGATAACTGTTGATCAGTTATATCCTTGGGTCTGAAAATGTACTTCGGAACATCTTACAATTGACTTCCAACCAGATATCGTGGATGGATTTCTTGAAGGAGACAAAACAGAGATATCATAATGGAATGGTTTGTGCTTCAGCTCAGACAGCTGGCTGGATGGCTGGATTCAACATAGAACTTAGCACCGAAGTGCAGCAGTTCGAGTTGCAACGTTCCAAAGAGCACACAAAAGTAGACAAGAAAATGAGTGAAGAGAATCAATAGAGTTTTGACAAGTATAAGAGTGAAACAGAATGAGTAATGGTAGAAAGGAATATGAAAGATTACAGAGATTGAATACATCTGCGTAAGCCATTGACAACGATTTTGAGCCATGTCACCTAGTGTCTCCAGCCATTGATTCTTAGAGTCCCGAGGGCCCCAACCCGGAAGTCTGCATCTCCCTACCTGACTCAGTTTAACTGTCAGGGATTTCATGGATTGATGAGGCCATGTTTTTGTTTGGCCACCACTTACTCTTTTCCAACCTGCACCTATATCAGCTAGTAATGCCCATCGAGGGAGGCGATGGTTAGGCATGCGCAGCACGTGACCTAGCCATCTCAATCTATGTAACTTTATAGCCTCTTCGACTGATTTTCCCTCTTCTCTCAGACAGCACTGTGTCACAGGATCTACTGTTAATTAATATTTACTTGAAGGTATTGTATGGAGGGGGGAAATATCATGCAATAAACTCCTCTGAAAAAAACACACATAATAACCCTGCTATTGCGTAATGAAATGCATACAAATAAAAGAAAGACCAATGCAACTGATTACCTGTAGTTGAGCCAACTTCAATATTTCTTGTTCACAGTTCACATAATCCATTGTATACAAGTACAAGTGAATCAATTGAACAAGAGCTCTAGCTTCAATATGTATAGCTGATTTTTTAATTTGACTATATTCTACTTCATTGAATTGTGAATTGTTTAAATTGATTTGATGCCCAGAATGAGCTGTTTTTAAACCAGTAACAGTAGATACTTGTTTTATTGCATCTTGACATAAGCTGATGATCATAGCTAAGTGTTGTGTTAAGGATGTCTTTGATGATGTATTACTTGAGTCACCAGCAGGTTTTCCATGATCATCTTTGAAACGATTAGCATTGTAATGATCACCACATTGTAATCGAATATCTTCAATATATGTAGCTGCCAACTGAAGAAGGACACTACAAATTAAAGTAGATGAGAACAATTACCTTAGATAATCATGAAAGAGGTATAACTACTGAAGTATTCACAAAAAAATCCGTCTTTTTACATATAATTCTAAGCGGAATTCTATAACTAACACAGGATCCTCAAAGGGATGATCCTATTAGTAAAGTTGGAGGATTTTCCTTATGAAAATCTAAAGCAAAGTATTGAATAATGAGTCACTGAACATAGGTCATTAAACAAAACGACGACTGACTTTTCAAACAGTTTAACGACTTAATAAATAAAGGTGAACATTTCTTTGGGTTATACCCGATGTGAACGTCTTATTCAGAAAATAACTTCGATTTCAGCATTGAAGTTTTCAGGTTCCTGTAGATGACAAATATTCATAAGACTGAAGATACACCTCACTGAAAGTTGTAATTTTTATCATGAGTCATACGTTCAGGATTTTATGTACAAACTGATATTTAACAGGTAACACTTTGGTAACAGGTAACAAGTCCAATGAAAATACCCACTACAGTCCTACAGGAAGTCAATCGCGAGCCCGAATAGCTCAGTGGTGAAGTCTCTGACTGCAGTACTCACTGGGTGACGCGGGTTCGGATCTCAGAAGCAATATGAGTTCCTTCAAGGCTGCAGATACGCCTAGCTGACGAGTGCCAACTAGCACGAAACCTAGGTCCAAGGCTTCCTGCCGATTGCCTCCAACTGTCTAACATCATCAAAACATGTAACACTTCCCAACAACAGATGATAAAAACAGAATAATATCGTATGGTTTAGTAACTAATTTGATCACGAACAGATAAATGTATACCTTAGGAATGAGGAAGGGATGAAAAACATGACTTTATTTCTAACTATTGATTCTTGGTAACCCGCGTAAACCAAATAAATAGCGACAGCATATTGGAGAAAATGTTTGCTCAAGTAACCTGATATCTCCTTCTCAAGTTTACTTTCGATGAGTTCATCATTGATGGATATGTAGTGAGCAGGCCATTCAAATAACTTATTCAAATGCAATTACTAAGCGTAGATGACGTAAAAGTGGCCTTGTGAGATGATATATCTTGAGAGAATTGAGTTGAACTTTAGTGCGTCGGTGGCACAGCTGTTAGAACTCTCGCCGACCAAGCACATGGTCCGGGGTTCGATCTCCTGCCGAAGCACACCTGATATCAATGGTCGGCCTGCAAAATTTGGGCTACCAGTATCATATGCTGAAAATTCCATACTTGTTACAAAAGTACGGTGTGGAGTCAAGCTATAATCAAAATGAAAAAATGAAGCAAAAATAGTCGATGACTAGTAAGACCGGCTGACATGAATTACTTTAATCAGTTCCCACATTTATTTCTTTGTTGGCTTATCTTAGAGGAGTACATGGATGTCACTGAATCAATATTTTTCAAGTCAGCAAGTTATCTCGAAATTCGTTTGAATAAGTACCTGCGGGTTACATACGCACATTTGAATGCGGTGCTCAAACGAACTCACAGATTAGCTTCTGGAATACAATTAAAAGATTTCCTATGCATGGAAATGTATTTTACAAGCTTACACTTGTGTACTTTCCATATTCCACTGGTCAAACACCTACTTTTGGATTTATACACGATAATTTTGTAAATTCCATGTTTGATTTGACTAACTAACGAAAACATGTGACTGGTGGCAGTTCACTTGACATCAAAACGTTTTTTCTTAAAAACTTAAATGTTTCATAACATTTGTTAACTTACTCTGACATATTGATTTTCTGTTCATTTACTATATCGCCAACTTCACTAGTTTGTACACGCATAAGTAATCTTGCTTGAACTGATTTCAAACGATTTAAAGTGTCGATACGTTCACTGAGTTTATCGTCTTCAGCAATTTGTAGTTTTATCAAAAGTTTTAATCCCCGACGAATTTCTTCCAAATCATTTACCTCAGAGACTTAATATTGTAAATATAGAAGTAAAGGTTGTAATACAAAGACTGATTCACAGAATAGCTGATAAATTTAATAAAGTAACCTAATTTTAAGCTAAAAATTGTATTTCACAGTGCAGACAGTATATCAAACTAAAAAGTAATTATTCTAATTATGGCTTTTAGTTCAATTAAATTTTAGATTTTCCCGTCGATTGATTGGACCGAAGAGCTCGGTCTCAGGTTGACGTGTCGGCTACTTGTGCAGATGCTTCGACGATGTTTGGGCATGTAATTAGAGGTTAATTGTTGTTTGGTGACTAGCAGTGGAATCCAGGATGCGCATTTCCTCCTATTTGGGACTCGCTAACTGGATGTGCCTGCATTCCCCAGTGAGTCATGCCGTTCCCACCGAGGCTGGAACCCAGTGGCCGTAGTTTAGAACTCCAAGGCGTCATCCACTAGACTACTTGGGCCACGAGAGCCACCTCTTGTGCAGTGGGTCATATTATTTAATTCAATTTTAGATTTTCCCGTCACTTACTGAGGAATGCAGGTACATCCCACTGACGAGTCCCAAGTAGGACAAAATGCGCATCCTGGATTCCACTTCTAATCACCATCCACCAATCATGGCTTTTAGTTTTCATGATTTTTTCAAGTATTGGTTTTGTAGGGATTTTGTTTTCATTGATTGAAGGGCTTCATCATGAGCTGACCCCGTGGGTGCGTGCTGATGAAGAGTCCCAAACTACGACGAAACAGCTGTCCCATACTCCCTGCTGGTTTTTTAATGGTTCTCTAACTGATGTCAGCTCACGATGAAATCCTCAAACCAATCAAAACAAAGTCCCAGCCGAACCAATACTTGAAAATTGATCTGATTCTCACTAGCAACTTGCCACATTCAGGCAGTTACGTGTGGTTCTAGTGGGAAGCCGTGGCCAGTAGGGTACAGAAGGGTTGAAGGTGAGGCAGTAACTCATCGAAGAAGACATTGAGAAGTGGTCATGCTATGTCGTGAATTGACAGAAGTTAGAATTCATGAGTGGCCACTGGATCAGTTCCCAGTGGCTGAATGATCTACGAGCTCATTGGCCTTGTAACCAGGGGGTCCTAGGTTCGAACTGTGTTGGTAAGTGCGTATCTCTGAAGGGCCCCAAACTATGACGGAGGAAACAGATGTCCAGTACTCAGAGGTTTTCATGATTTTGTTTGAATTGTTGATAGATAAATTAGTATCACTTATATTAGGATGTATGTATTTCAGAACAGTACAAATTCAAAAAACTCATGTAGACGTATAAACTGTTCTTTAAAATGAAAAAAGTTCAGAATATTAAAAGGAGGATAAATAAGAAAATCCATACATATTACAAACACCAGGTTCTTGCAGTCACGTAATTCTCTTTGAGAGTGAAAGAAACGAATATGTTACTTCATATCCAAAATGTGTAGAAGAACAGATATTTTAATCATGAAATAACGTCATGTTTCGCCTTCATCACTGGTAGTGCTCCTCTATATTTCCCTGGTTTTGTAACCTTTTTAAACAAGTGGTTATAAAGTTAATGGTACATTTTTAGACGATATTAATTAACGGTATCCTAACTTATGATGTGCAAACGAGTGACTGATCCACAGACAGGCATGATGCCAAAGTATTAAAATTGGGATGAGAAGAGCTGATTCTTCTGGGAATTCAATGCTGATGTTCAGACAATTAACAAAATATCTCATCCTCAGCTGGTTATGTAACGACAGAAGGCAAGAGTCAGGCAACAGATCGTTTATTAAGGAAATCAAAGCATATTTATATATTTTCATGTACATTATTATAGTTTAGTTAAGCAAACAAACACAGTCTTCCGATTGGTTGTTTCTCACTTAAAGTTAATCTTTCATCTATTTGTGACTGTTTCTTGAATGTCGAATCCTCTATATGTTAACTGCATCCGCCTACGCAAAGTCAATCTTTGTTCACATTTTCTCACTACAAATCTTGGGAACGTAAATATTGACGTAAATTACTGTCTACCAATTTGGCTAGTAGACAGCTCTCACCACAGTTACATGAAATAATGATTGAGTCAGTAGTTGAATCTCATAGTCCAATCAAAAGAACTCAGGGGGTGATAACTCAAAGGAACAACCTAGACTTTCTTTTCAACTTCATCCATGACTCAGCTGCAATAAATAGCTATTTGTCTGCTTTATTGATGCAACTGCAATAAACACCTTTAACATAAACAGTAATTTCCAAGTATGTTCAGTTGGTCTTCTTTCGAGAGTGAGAGAGAGAAGCAATACTTTTATATGCTTATAACTGTTTTTTATCAAAAACAATGCTTGTGTATACTTCCTTTTAACTTTCCCGTCTTCATATTTAGGATCCTTTTCTCAGTTATCCAAACATATATGTTACAAATTAGGAGTATTTTTTTTTTCAAATGTGAATAGGTCATGGCCAACACAACAAACTTATATTTCAAGAAATGGCATTTAACACTTAACAGTTCTATTTCATTTAATTTAGCATTTTTCTCTATGTTTCATGGAATAAGAAAACTTATTAGTTTGTGGAATTCACACAGTTGAAGGACTGATATCTGTTCAGTATTATAAAATGATAACCTACATACATCATGAGTCATAGTGCTACAGTGCGTTTACTGCATAGTCAATGACAATCCCAACTACATTCATCTTGGTAAAGAATGTTTGGTCTAATTCTCTTTGAGAACTATCAAGAAAGTGAACTGTCTTATGAAGGCAGACTGCCTTTTACATGTAGCCAGACTTGTTACAAACCAGTAAGATACAAATTCACTTGAGGACTTGCTACAGAGGTAAGCAAACACTTAAAATTAGATCTGAGAGAATAACATTCTATTTCTTCACGATGTAGGGATTTACACTAGTGATGTTTTGAGGTGGAAGAAAAGTAAAGATACTTACATAGGAGATAGATCCAATTATTCAAGTTAGATTAGATTTTAAATATACAATACCTTTTCGACTTCTACTAAGTCAAATAGTATAGCACAGTCATTCTCCTATCATTGACTACTGGACTAAATCCCGATAAGATCCAGCCTTATGTATTGCTTCATATTTTATTATCTAAAGTCAATAGCCAATGTTCATTTAGAAATAATATATACAACGACAGAAATCAACAAAACTTTAATATTCTTTTAAGAAAGTATTCAAAATGACTCGGACAGGAACACAACAATAATAATAATAATTTAATTCAATGAATTACATCCTTCTATGAAATTCGCGTGTGAAGCGGAATCCCAAAAAAGAATTCCCTTCCTAGATGTCCTTCTTACAAGAAAACCAAATGGTAGAATTAAGAGAAATTTGCATAGGAAAAGCATATGGACAGGACAACATACACATTTTTAAAGCTTTCTCCCTCTCCAGTAGAAAAGAAATTTAATAAGGACTTTTAGCTACAGGGTCAGAGTTGTGTGCTCAGAAAAGGTTAAAGATAAACTTAGAACTGTATATGACATCTTAATTGAAAATAGCTATCCAGAAAAGTTCATCAAGAACTACATGACTAAGAAAGAAGAAAGGGACTGTTTTCTATCTTTAAAGAAGAAGCCTTCATACCTACGGATGCAATTCAAAGATGACGTACCGAAAGAAATAATTACTAACAATTTCAGAAAATATAACTGGTGGATGGTGACTAGCAGTGGAATCCAGGACGCGCGTTTCATCCTATTCGGGAGTCGTCAGCTGTGGAATGCAGGTACATCCACAGTCCCAAATAGGACGAAATGTGCATCCTGGATTCCACTGCTAGTCACCATCCAGCAATGCCCAGACATCGTCGAAGCATCTGCACAAGAAGCCGACATGTCAACCTGAGACCGAACACTTCGGTCCAATCAATCGACGGGAAAATCTAAAATTAAATTAAATTTAAGAAAATCTATTCAAACAGCTTTTGATGCCAGTAAACTACAAGTCATATTCTCTACACAACCGGTTGCAATTCCTCAACTGAAAGATGAAGCAATTAGACTAGAGGCCTCTAATTGTATCTGCCAATTCAACTGCGCTCGTGAAGGGAGTCATATTGACCATTGCTCTAGGAACTAGATTTTTTGTGCTCGGGAACACCTACCAGTGTGGCTAAATAAAGGTATGGTGGAAAACATCAACAGCTCAGTATTAGACAACCTGGTCCAAACTAGCCACGAAGCTAACATTGAAGAATCCCTCTCCATCATCTTTCGGGCACGAAATAAATTTTCAGAAACATTGAGGTCCCAAAGACTACAAACACCAGAGGCTATTGCCATCCACCTAAAACAACCGGTGCTTTTTGTGCAGAAGAAACAGGCCCATCCAACTGTATTATTGATATAAGTATAAATCTTGAGCACTGTGGGAGAGATAACTCCATTATGGATAAGATTTTATTTTGATAAATCACACAGTGTTGTATAGTAACCATTACTACTGCTCTGGCATTCTGTGGCGCCCACATGAATTCATGAATTCTGTATTATCACCTTCCCTAATTTGTCTAATATTCAGTGTAGTATTATGTTGATGTATATTATCACACTTACAGATGTTATTGAACTGTAATCTATTCATATTATTGATCGATTCGATGTTATTTAAACAAGATTAATGTTGTTAATAACCCTAATTTTTTTCATTATTATGGACTGGTATATAACTGTAGAACCTGATGAAAAGGAAGTGATTAAAAAGCATATTCTTTGTTCAGTAATCAGTCTTTTGGAAGTATTCAAAGATTAGCAGTATCAAGCAATAACAAAAAATAATTAGTTCATCAATGAGAGTGCAACTAGAATGAAATCTTATTCGGTGTGTAAATTCTTTTCTCGAGATTTTACTGACTTTCACTAAAATTGACTTCAATTCATATACCCAAAAGCATATTTTAAAATATCAAATTTAACTTCTTTTCATCTTGTAATGAATACTTCAAACGGATAAAATAAGTACAAAATAAAGTTATCCAGCAAGGGAGAAACAAATATTTTTTATCCTGTAGATTAATAACTAAACTTTCAAATGTGATTTCTTCAAAAAAAGCGAACTGTTTCCCTTGTAGCTCATTCTAGCATTTGTACTAGGCGATTGGGCACCCTTCGGTGAAGTTAAACTTTAAGCACCATTAAGTACCAATAGAAAAATGCCCCTGGACGAACCAATCATATGATAAAGGCGACTTTCACGTGTAAAATATATTCATGAATATAATGAATTAAACAGCATGATAATGTTACACAGGATATCTTTCTGTGACGCGTGACCAAAAATGCCTGTCAGTTCTGGATTAGGATGTAAACAGAGTAATTTAATCACGCTCTAAACATGTACCTATCTAGGTCTTCTAACCCTAATTACTATTATTGGTCCTTTAATTCCTAGAGGAACACAGGGCTTCACCCCACGTCTACATTGCATTCGGTTCTGTGCTAACGCTTTCACCTGGCTCCACATCTGCCCACATGCTTTCATCTTCTCTTCAAATGACCTCCTCCATGTCACCCTCGCACTAACGACCAACTCGCCGCTTCCTATTCGGGTCCCACTCGAGCTATAGCCTGTCGTGTGATGTCACTTGATGGTTTTCTCAGAGTATGGCATTCCCATCTCCATTTCTTCCTGTAAATTTATTTCACAATCGGTTCCTGGTTGGTACGCTCCAAGAGATGCCTGTTGCTGTTCTTTTCTGACTTTCTGATCTTGAGTGGTGTCGAGCGAAGACAGCTGTTAATGAAGGTCGGTAGTTTGTTCAAAGTGCCTTTCGTGACGCGGCACCAAGTCTCTGATACGTATAGTAAGTAGCACTGACTTCACATTGGAGTTGAAAATTCAGATCTTATTTTTCATGGTGACTGCTGTTGACCTCCACACAGACTTGAGAGTAATGAAAGCTTGCCTTGCTTTCCCGATCTTCACTTTGATATTCCCATCAATTCCGTCCGCCTGTAACTGAAACGATGCTTCCCAGGTAGACAAAGGAGGTTGCTTCTTTCAGATTTCTCACATTTATTGTCTGTTGTAGCTGCTGTTGCTGTTGGTCAGGAATCTTCATCACCTTTGTTTTTTTCTAACTCTAACAATAACCTTAATTTCTCCTTAGCCTAATCCTTATGTAAAAATATCCCTAAACTAACCCTAATCTAGCTCGAACCAACCCTCATATCTCCCTTATTAAGTTAACTTAACCCTAACTTATCTGTCCTTAGCCTAAACTTTAATAATTCCGAAACCTAACCTGATACTTACCAGATATTCCATTTAATAACATAACACTTCACCAATCCTAATTTATTCATGATTACAATATTATTTACCAGGTTACTTGCTTAGTGAGCGTTTCAAGGTTATTGGTACGTCATACTCCATTGGTACTTACCGGAGCTTAAAGTTTAACTTGGCCCACACTTCTAGAGGTATTAATTATTATCAGATACTGAGGCTTCCTTTTGCTACTTAAGTAAGATCGAACAGATTAATCGACGTCAATGTGCCATCTCCTTGTACGAAAAAGAAAACTACTATTAATTTGCATAACAGTTGTCTTTTGATAGACTCTGGATTTTCTTATTCATTTTCATTCCTAGTGGAACGTACGGCTTCAAGCTATAACTTCGAAGTTTCAGTAGTAGTGGTGTTTCCCACGGGATGGGGTTGCTAGAGTCACACTCAACCTTCCCTCTTTACCGGTCTTATTACTGGCTTAGTGAGATAAAGGTGTGCGTTGGCCGGGAATCGAACCCCGGACCACTTGCGTGGTTGCTTAGTGTCCTACCACTAAGCAACCGACTCTGATGCTTAAAGATAATGTTGATCATTTCACAAAAAGAAAACAGCATTTTTGTATGGTCGAAAAAAACTAACTGCATTTCAGCTTACCTGAATCTATTATTTCATCTGTTAACATTGAATTAAGCAGACGTTTAGCTTTTTCAAATTGTTTAATATTAATCAATAAATCGGCTAATTCTAAACGGAGACCATTTTGACCAGTTTTTACAGCTGTCTCATAATAGGATACAGCTTTAGCATAATGATGAATTTTAACAAATGCATGACCAATTTTACTGGCTAAACGTAAATCATTTGGATTTTTACGTAGAATCGATTCATAGATTTCAATAGCGTGTTCTGGTTCTTGAATAGTCATATACGCTTCACCCAGCAATAGATAAGCTTCATTTGTACCTAATTTTTCAGCTAAATCTCTATTAGAATTCAATAAAAGTATTTAAAAATAGGGCGAAATTAAAATAGTTATTTGGTTTAAATCATGATAATGATATGTCATAATCATAGAAAATTAAATTTTGACGATTATTGTTTCCTGGTACCTAATAAAAATATTTTGACCCAGTGGCTTGTTATGGGTCACCAAGAAGCTCATACTTACGTTTTTACTTAGTAATGATTTTATCCTAGTGTGAATTAATCAAACAAATCCTCTATAAAATCTGCCTAAAACACACAGTCACTTCTAAATATATTAGTAGAATTGTATTAAGTACAGACCAGGACGGACAGGTGCAAGTCGACTTCGTCTTGGGATACCTAAAACAGAAGGGTGTGTCGGCGGTTCATTGGTAGAACACTCACCAACCACCTATGTGGTCTTGGGTCCGGCTTCCGGCTCACTCCTAAACTTTAACCAGTGGTAAGCCCGATAAAGAAGGAAGGTTGAGTGTGAGGCTGGCAACCCTGTTAAAAAACAGACACTTCTCCTACTGAAACTTCAAAGCTGAAGCCTTAAGCCTCATATTCCACTCAGTACGCAAAGAAACAAAATAATCATAAATAATAAAACAGGAGGAGTGTTGGAATTGAGTGGCAGCAGAGCTCAAGAGACGACTAGCTGAGGCCTGACACCCATTGCACTAAGATCTTATCGCTGCCTATGGACCGCCTCAAGGTAGGTCGGGATGTACAATTTTCTGTGTCGACCCCTTCCCATTTCAGGACAGATAGGCAGCATATCTGGCTTGCTGGTCATCAGATGGAAATACCTTACTGCTCTTACATCCTTATTCTTCCAGCAGTACTACTTCCCCCACTACTACACCACCCACCCACACATAGTGCAAACGACTTACACTATGATGGTAACTGCCTTTAGTCTAATCTCTGTCCAGACTAACTTTCTAGTATGGTGTTGTAACAAGGGCCAGGCAACAGATCCTTTATTAAGGAAAATCAACACATATTTATAGATTTTAATGTACATTATTGTAGATTATTGTTAGTAGAAAATACAGTCTTTTGATTGGTTGTTTCTCACAGAGAGTTAACCTTGCATCTCTTTGTGGCTGTGTTAGATCATCAATATGCTAACGGTATCTGCCTACGCAGAGCCTTTGTTCTCATTTTCTCACCACCAATATTGGGGACATAAACATTGACGTCAATTACTGTCTACCAACTTTGGCTAGCAGTCAGCCCTCACCACAGTATGACCTGCAAAAACATTAGTTTCAGCAAGTATAAGTTGTTGGGTCATTGTAATGTGCAAGCCCCATAACCACACTAAGGTAGTAGCTAGTGCTCAGAACGGATACTTTAGTCTCAGTTGTTGGAAGTTATTAAAATTTCCCTGAGGATTTTCCCTTGTCAAAATTCACCATTGAGCACTCCTTCAACTGACGCCTTGATGACGACTACTGTTTTGAACTTCGTAAACAATACGTGTGGGTATAAATTACAAAATTAGTTAAGCATATCAGCTGTTATATATGAAGGAAGGTTACTTTGTTCAATTAGCCTTATTTTGCATTCTATAAAACTACTTCTTCAATGACTGAAACAGTTCATCACCAACCACTAAGTAACGCTTTAAAGGAATAATCGGTCTGGAAGAATTGTGAACTGTCATTCAAAAATAAGAGCTGTACATCGGACACACATAAACCCTTAGATAGTTATTATCTCTTTTCAAAATTTTCATGTTATTCTACTCAGTTAACTGTGTGGTGGTCCAAAGTTATAAAAAATTGGAAAAAAAAGAACAATGTATAGTACCTGTAGCATGCAGCAAACAATTTCTTTTCCTTTCTATGGTATAAATAAATATCCGCCATATTTTGTCGTGCAGTTATATAATACGGATGATCTGGTTGAATTTGTCTTAGTGTATTTAAAGCAGTTTCATGGTCATTTTGTGCCAAAGCCAGATTAGCCATAGCTATAGTAACTCGAGCAACTTCTACTGTACCAGCAAATGCTAAATAAGCATCCTGCAGAACTTTTGTAGCTTCATGCTGTAAAATGCAAACAAAAGCGTTGTGAAAATCCTATTGAAAAATCGAATTTACTGAAGGTGATTAAAATCTTTTTTAAATAAATAGAAATGGCTTCGTTCTGAACAAAACGTTTAGACAGTATACGGAATTCCCATAGTAACTTATTGCATGATGTTTTCTGCTTATCCAGGATCTTCAAGTAAATTAGCAGTCTAAAGTGCGTCGGCAAGCAACGCCGACTGAAGTATAGACTAATCCCTTATGATATTTTTCTTTCGTTTCCGCGGTGTGCGCACCGGTAGTTTAAAATCCAACTGAAAAAGTGTGTGAGTACATTTTGCGACTCAGGGATATAACTGATTGGTTAAGATAATAAGAATTAGAGCAAAAATATGACGCATTATGTTAGGTAGCCCAGTGATTCAAGCAGACACTGGATAATTGTGAAACGTGTTAGTGTAGTACAGCACGAAAGAGGGGTGTCTTATTGATGTACAGGACAACATCACAGACTGATAGCACGCGAGTGAACAGATTACAAAGAAGTGTGTCTCTCTCGGTGCATCTAATACTGATATCCCTGAGGGCCTTAACAGCGGCACCGGAACCAAAGCATAGACACAGCCATGAAGCATAAACAATCTTAAACTATTTTTTAAATATAAATATACAAGTTTGTTGCTGTTAATCAGTAACAATTCACTGCTAAAGGTCTCACTTCTTAAATAAAATCAAAGTATAACAATCAATAAAATCTCTAACTAACCCTACTATATACAGATACTGATAGCATTCAGTCTGCACCAAACAAAGGACTAGACACATCACACTAGTTACTAGTGTCCAATAAAAGTATCCAATACAGTCCTACTGGAGGTCAATCGTGAGCCCGAATAGCTCAGTGGTAAAGTCTCTGACTGCATTACTCACTGGGTGACGCCAGTTCGAATCTCGGAAGGAACATGAATTCCTTCAAGGTTGCAGATACGCCTCGCTGACGAGTGCCAACTAGCACGAAAACTAGGTCCAAGGCTTCCTGCCGATTGCCTCCAACCATCTAATATCATCAAATATATACAAATACTTTATCCAAAATCAATATATACAAGTAAAAGTTACCAAAACATGACTCAGTAATTTTTTCGCACTCTTACTTGTTCACCTGCATTACGATGTGCATCAGCAAGTTCAATGTATAATGAAAGTTTGTCATTTTGTGTTAAATCATTCTGAAAATAACCTAGATTATTAGATTTCATAGACTGGGAACGATGTTGTGGATTCGATAAATTTGCAATTGCTTGCTTTAATATCTGTACTGCTATTTTAGCTGAGCCTTGTCTACTCATTATACGAGCTCGAACAAGTTGATATAATGGATGATTGCGTACTTCAAAATTATTGCCAACACCAGTTTCTAAAGTTTGTTCTGCAGCTTTCAAATTTGACATATAAAGATATATCTAAATGAAATAAAGTAAAGACAATTAGAAAATGTATAAATTGCATCAAAACTTTATCCTACTATTATTAGCAATTTTGTCTAGTTCTTAAGGTCGACTGCTTTTATGGATACGTTTTCTCAATGTTCTTATTTTTTACCTATATCTGTGGCGTGGTACAGGTTGATAGGATGCTGCCGAAATTGAAATCAACTCTTTAAGCCAATGGTTGTAGAGACAAAAGTGTCTTTTACTCAAATCTGGATTTAGTTTATTTTGTGGACAAGAAACAACCTCATTGGATGGCTTGTCTAACTCTAGGCCACTTGTCTACCAATGAGAACAATTTATTCTCCTCTGACCTAGCCGAACTTTAATGTGTTTAGGAATGTATAAATATGATGTGTTTTCCTTGATAAAGATCTGTTACCAGGTCTCGTATCAACTCCCATTACATATCAACCACATAATGGGAATCAAAGGTGAGTCATAATGATGACCATATTGCTAGAATTCAGCCATCGACTTGACCGGTCAGTATATATATTCTTTTAAATCTTATTCATTAAGCATGGTCACTAAAACTTCAACATTTGAGAATTACTTTTCTTTCCTTATACTAATTGCAACAGATTCGCTAGAGGAATTTTGTCAGACTCTGAGCACCCACTCTACCAGCAGCTCCAACCTTGTGTCTCCTCAGGTAAAACAAGAAGTCTTTTCAGAAGACTTTATGCACGTACGTCTAAGTATAAAAATTCCACTATACCATATTTAGCACGTACTTTATGTGATGAAAATAGTGTCATGCATGAACTAACTAACCTTCTTAACACCACTAAATAGACCATTTCCTTCAACCTTAAAGCATCATACTTCATTGATATTGTATTTCTTATATTTATAATCCTCTCAATTTTTTCGTTTTGTTTATTTTATTTTTCATAAGTGTGGACATAATTTAAGCTGTATTATGACTGTTAACTTTTTATTTCACCTCACTATACCATATCAACAGAACATTAGACCCAATTGTCCATTACATGCTAAAGTTTCCAAACTGAATCGACAATACCGTTTGAAACAAACTCACTGTTATTAGTATTTATTGTTATTATTATTATTATTATATCTAATAATTATGTCGTTAATGTGGACAAATTCCTCCGATTAATTTTTGTTTTAATTTTTAATTTTATATACACTTTGAGTAAATCAGATGCAATATTGTGACAAATACTGAGAATTCCATTCTGTATTATAAGTACTGTTTTTGGAATAAAGTAAATTATTATTATTATGAATAAGAAAAAATTTTACAATTACAAGAGAATACATAACAGTTCCCTGCTGACAGAACTGTTACGAGAATTTAGCAGAGTATGTTTCAACATACTTTACTAATAAACATATAAAGCATCTGAGATGATGGTTGGGAAGCCTCAAGAAAATGAAGAACATTTTCAAAACTAATTACTTTCATTGGACACTAGTCAATAACTAGTGTAATGTGTGTGTGTCTAGTCCTATGTTCGGTGCAGACTGAATTCTATCAGTCAAGTTTGCAATGTAGCCACCATGCCACTAGGTAGCTTGCCATCACGATGCACTGTGAATTGTTGGTATTAGATGGTTGGAGGCAAACATTAGACTAGACACATAACACTAGTTACTGACTAGTGTCCAAACAAAAATATACAATACAGTCTTACAGGAGGTCAGTCTCGAACTCGAGTAGCTTAGTGGTAACGTCTCTGACTTCAGCATTGGGGGACGCGGTTTCGAATCACAGAAGGGATATAAGTTTCTCCTAGGTTGCAGATACGCTTTGCTGACTGATGAGTGCTAACTAACACGAAACCTAAGTCCAAGGCGTCCTGAAGATTGCCTAAACTAATCTCTATTATAATTTTGATTTCCATGAGAATGATTGTCCAACTATTAGTACAAGAAAAGAAAAAAGGCAAACAACATCCCAACAAAACACTCTGATAAACCATCCATTTCACTTAGAATTTGCAGATAATCAATATACTGTCTAGTACATTTTTGTGTTATGGAAGTGAACAGATGATGACTGTGAAAGTTTAACAAGAGAAAAATAACAAATCATTCAAGATTTGTGGAATGTCTATTTTGTCCTAAATACCTTTTCTTAACTGCATTTATATAAAACAGGAAAAGGCATTCTTTGCTTTAAACTACAATATATATATATATATATACATATATGTATCTATATAACTCTGAAGAATATTGCAGTTACATGAAATGCTGTCTCACATTTCACCATGTGTTTTTTTTTTAAATTTAAATATCTGCTTTTACTAACATGGAAAAGTCTCCTGAAGTAAATGTTAAAATAAACCCAGTGAAAGCCTATTTAACTACATCTGTAAACATGATCTATTCTTAAATATCTCATAAACGTTTTTTTAAAAATTCGGTGATTGAGTGAATACTGACAGAAACTAAGCTGTGTTTGACAAAGTAATCTATTTATGTTTTTAAATCATTGAACAATACCTACAAGAATTAACTGTGCGATGAAAAGTAATAGAAGGGAAATGGTAAACTGTTGAATATATTTTTACACAGACAAATAGCTTCCTAAGTATAGTAAAAATGTTTTCTCATCCCTTATAATTTAGTTTTCCCTTTAATGAAGCCATGAAACAACAGATTAGGACGAATACTCGCCAGCGATTACATTCGCTGGTGGTCGCACCATATTATGAAATGGCAGAAGCTGGAATTCAAGGGGCTGGCCATTGGATCTGGTCCCAGTGGCTTAATGGCCTACGAGCCAGCTCGCCTTGTAACCGAAAGGTCATGGGTTCGCCCCCTGGTGGGGGGTGCGTGCTGTTGAAGAGCCCTAAACCAGGACGAAACAACTGTCTACTACTCTCAGGTTTTCCAACAGGTCAGTCATGACGAAATCCTGAGATAATTAACTTGATAAATGATTGAAAAATCAAATATCTTTTGCATCGATGATTGAATGACAGAAGTTTCGTCAACCACGCGAGTGCTCCGGGTTCAATTCCTGACCAAAACACTTCTGCATCAAGTAAGCCCGGAAATGAGGGAAGGTTTTCGTAGTGTGGCTAGTAGACTCATCCGTTAAAATTAACACAACCGCTACTGACACTTCGGAAGCTTAAGCCCTATTGTGGCGTGTGCTATTGATAAGATTTTTCAGTAGTATATATAGAGGTGTTCATCGGCATAAAAACATCCAGTAGCAGGGAGATACATTTGATGTCAGAGAAAGCAAATGATACAGTGTTATGGAGACAAACGTGAAAGGAACACAAAGAAACACATATTATGAAGGCCAGAAGGAAGTAGAACAACACGGATGATCTGTGCAAATGGTGCGTTGAAGATAAGGTACACATAATTTCGCTATATTATTATTATTATTATTATGGTTCCCTTGGGTTCCTAGTGGAACATAGGGCTTCCACTGCACGTCTCCACTTGCTTCTGTCTTCTGCTGTACTTTTCACCTGCATCCACGTTAGTCCATACTGTTTCAACTCTTCTTCACACGATCTCCTCCATGTCACCCTCGGACGTCCCACTCGCCGCTTCCCTTTCGGGTTCCACTCGAGGGCCTGACGCGCGATGTCACCCAGCGGCCTCCTCAGCGAGTGTCAGGTCCATCTCCACTTTCTCCTGCATATTTGTTGGGCGATTGGTTCTTGTTTTGTTTGTTCCCATAGTTTCTTGTTGGTGATTCTTTCCGGCCATCTGATTGATCTTCAGCATAGAGCGAACACAGTTGTTGACAAAGGTCTGCAACAGGCTGTTGGAAATATTCTTTGTGACCCGCCGTCAAGTTTCTGATCCGTATAGAAGAACTGACTGACTTGACTTTTGTATTGAAAATCCGAATTTTGTTGTTGATGCTGAGGAGAGACGAAGATTTCCAGATTGGTTTCAGGTTGATGAATGTGTTTCTCGCCTTCCCGATTCTCGATTTGACATCCTCGTCCGTTCCTCCTGTAGTTGAGACAATGCTCCCCAGATAAGTGAATGGTGTAACCTCTTTCAAATCCCTCCCGTTGATGGTGATTGGCGCTGGATGTTGTTGTTGTTGTTGTTGGTTGGTTAGTTGGTTATTTTCATAACCTCCGTCTTGTCTATGTTCACCTGGAGTCCTGTCTTCTCTGGCTGCTTCTTTGACCAGTTTGTCGGTTTTCGCTTGTAAGTCTTCGACTTTGTGTGACATCAAACATAAATCATCCACGCACGTCGGTCCAGGATATCCCTGTCTCCTCGTTTCCCACTGTCTGACGCATAATCCAGTCCACCACAATTAGGAATATCCTTGGTGATAATAAGCACGCTTGTTTGACTCCTGTGTTTACTCCAAACGCCTCTCTGAGTTTTCCGTTGTGGATCACTTTTATTTATTTTTTTTATTTTTATTTTTTTTATTTTATTTACAGCTTGATTCCACACCGTATATTCAGTACAAGTATGGAATTTTCAGCATGGATATCGGTAGCCCAAATTCAGGCCGACCATAGATATCGGGTGTGCGCCGGCAGGGGATCGAACCCCGGACCATGTGCATGGTCGGCGAGAGTCCTAACCACTGTGCCACCGACGCACTTGACATGTGCCGTTGTCGTACAGCTGTTGAATAAGGTTGATGAATATTTGGGGTACGCCGTAATACTCGAGTAGTTTCCAAATTACTTCGCGGTCAACGCTGTCGTAGGCCTTCTCAAAGTCTATAAAGTTGAGGTAAATTTGGCTATATAGAGATACCAAATTGCAGATAAACACTCCTTAACCAAGTCTTTCGGCTTCTGTTGTTACAACGCTATGTTCCACTTCTGTCGAAAGGAATGAAAGAAAAGACATTTGAATCCAATAAATCTGTGTAGATGTGATGGATATTTTCATACGTGTTCATAAACACGGTGTCAGATTCTATGGGTTCAAATCTACTGGTAGGAAATTACTACTGTAACAACAGAAGACAAGGGCCAGGCAACAGATCGTTT